GCTCCAGTGAAGCACGTGCAGAAAACAAGAAGGAAGGTAAGGAGCGAAGTTCAGTGATATAACTAGGTGTAAAACATGGGCAATTCAGGATTACAGGAAAAGAATTTATCCGTATCCATGCATAATGTTATGCTCTAAGCATGGGGCTGTTCTGTGAGGTACGAACAGCTTTTTGAGTTGTTCGGTTTTGCGAGTAAAATCTGCCCATGGTTTTCTGAGGAAGGAAAGGTAAATACAGAGGCATGGGAGAAGGTAGGAAAACAACTTAAAGATCATTATATAGCTGAAGGTCCAGAGGAAATGCCTGCCTCTGTTTTCAGTCTGTGGTCCCTGATTCAGGACTGCCTGGAGCCCACTCCAGAAAGGGAGTGGATGAATGTGGCAGGGGAATCAAGACAGATGGGGGAAGGCTACCAGAGGCTTCCGACTCCACCGGTACCATCAGTGTCTCCACTGCCTCCTCCAGTCCCTGGAGCTACAGCTCCTGTGGGAGAGAGCCCTCCGGATGACGCACTTCCTCCCAAATATGAACGAGGATTGGAGGAAGCAAGGGAACAGTGCCGGCAGGTTTGAGATGATGGGAGTCTGGTGCAAACATTTGGAGAGCTTACTGTTGCTCATAAGCCTCTCCTTTTACCCACTAAACAAGCAGCTAGAAATGAAAGTCAAAGGGCTACAGGGAGTGGAAACAAGTAGCCTGGACTATGTTCAGGATGCAGGAGAGGAAAGCAATTGGGTAAATGGCTGATATTGATGATAATCCGATGTTCCCTAGGCAGGGAAATTACAACACTAGGGTCCTTATCCTTAACCCCACTGCAGCCTTTCCAGCTGACTCAGTAAACCTTTATCATGTCACCCGGGAAGCGCAGGATTGGCAAGTTCTCCCTGGAGTGATAGATCAGGACTCAGGTAATAGCAGAAAGCGCCAATCCTACTCTGAAAATGGATATAAGAAAGCATTTGGGGTTTTTCTTCTTAATGCCTGTTTTGGATTGAGTAAATGGATTTTACTTAAGTTTTAACACATCAAAGTTAGCTCTTGACACAAAAAGAAAAACTAACAGTTTGACTCAAAGTTAACGTTTTATTTTGAAGTGCTAAGGCTCAAAAGTAGAACCAATTCACTATAAACATGTAAAGCTGCATAATTTGCAACACTTTAAGTTAAAGTAGGAAGTCGTAAATACAAAGGAGCATGTCTGTTTATATGTATCCAGGAAGCCAGAGCTATGTCTTCAGGTCTCATCATACCATGTTTAGTAGCCTGTTCTTCTAATGAGTTCTCACCCCATTTCGCTGAGTTAAAATAAGCTGTCTTATTGAGGCTTCATCTGATATCTTCTGATTTAACATTTTGGAATACCTGACAGCATTACCAGGGATGAGGACGAATGCAGTAGCAAGCTCTAAAATGTATACCCATTTATGAATGGTCAGAATTCCATCAACTATAAACATTCTTTATGAATGGTCAGAATTACATCAATATAAACCTTTTTTATAAAAATAACAAAAGGGGAGAAGAATGTTATCTGTTAAATTGAAGAATGTTATCTGTTAAATTTTTTGAATTACAATGCAGAGATTTGTACAGCAGCCGAAAGGCATCGGGCCTCCTGTACAATAGCCTCTGCCGACTTAGCCCGGCAAGAGTTTTGCACAAACCAGCCAAGAGTTTTACCAGATCTAGAAATGATGTGGGGAAGAGGTTGTGTTTTGTATATTTCCAGAAGGAGCAGTGCAGTCAATTTGGGAACCGGAGACTTACATGCGTCACCACAATGGACCCAGAGAAGCTCCTTGTCCCATTGTTCCAAAGACTGAGAGTTGCCCCGATGACAGCAAAGGGGAAAAAAGAAGAAAAGGAAGGCTATGCAAGGGACTGAGATGCCAACATCGGGTCAGCTGAAGAAGTTAACAACTGAGGCCCAGCAGATGGTAGAAAAACAAGATGTGGAAGCTACTTCCTCAATCATGTTTCTGGCTATGCTAGTATTGGTTAGCTGCCAGTCTACTGCAAAGTCTTGCTCAGCCAAGTCTGAGGACTCTGAGTAAATTAGCAAAAGAAACTTTCATTTAGCAGAAACTCACTTATTGCTGTTTTGAACCCTTGGCTGAGCTGGCTCGGCACACTAAGAAACTGTATCAGTAAAGTGATTGAAGGCATGGGCTCTGTGGCCAAATAGTCTGGCATCAAATCCTGCCAGGTCTGCCAGCTGGGCAACCTTGCACCTCCTTTACCTTATTTTCCTTGGTTCTATGTTTGGAATCATGATAATACCTCCCTCATGGGGTTTTAGGAAAGGCTGTTTAACCTTTTAGTATCTTAGTTTCCTCCTCTTTAAAATAATGATAAAACCTCTAGTAATGTTTGGTTGCTGTTAAGAGTAAATTTTTATATATGCACTAGCGGCCCGGTGCACGAATTCATGCACTGGAGTAGGGTGAGGAAGGGCACTTAGCCCAGCCTGTGCCCTCTCGCAGTCCGGGACCCCTCGAGGGATATCTGCCTGTCAGGGCGATTGGGCCTAAGCCAGCAGTCAGACATCCCGCTCGCAATCCGGGGCTCTCGCAGTCTGGGACTTCTTGCTCCTTACCGCCCACCTGCAATGGAGACGGGAGAGGCTCCCGCTACTGCTGCTGCTGCGGTTGCCAGCTGTGAGCCCGGCTTCTTGCTCAGTGGTGCTCCCCCTATGAGAGCGCACTGACCCCCAGGGGGCAGCTCCTGCTTTGATCATCTGCCCCCTGGTGGTCAGTGTGCATCATAGCAACTGGTTGTTATGCAGTTCAGTTGATTTGCATATTAGAGTTTTATTATATAAGATGCTGTTTAGTATGGCATGGGTTGAGACACATGACATTTAAAAGGTGCTTGGCATATATTGAACACTCAGTAAGTGTTAGTATATACTATAAAATACTAAGAAATTGAAAAGAATTTTATTTGTTTTTACTTGTAGGTGAATAAGTATGGACAACAAAGACACATATTTGCTGAACTTTAAAGGCTATAATTTTGAATCTTCTTTCGTTGATGCTGACTTTCTAGAAAATCTAGATGATTTTGAAATTAGAGATGATGATGTCTTCATAATTACATATCCAAAATCTGGTAAGTTTGAGGAGTGGACTACCTGCTATCAGTTTTCACTCTGGTTTGGTAATACATGTGTACAAATGAGCCCTTTTCCAGACATTAACAGTAGCCCAGCCTACATTTAGAGCACCATTAGGATTTTTAATAAAGTTAAATAAATCTCAAAGTTTTACTATAAAAGGTCATTAAAACGCATATATTGTTGTTTTTTAAGGCACCTCGGAAGAAACCAAATATTGAGCCAAAGCAGATACTAGGTCAATGCTGACCTGTTGGCTTTCTCTGAGAATGGAAGAAAACATATTAAAAAACCCAGCAGGCTTTTGGTTAGCAGCATCTCTCAGTCAGAACTAATTTCTAATATGCTTTTCAATTACTCTCATTGCTTTTATTTCCCTATAATAATGAAATAATTTTGAACTAAAGTAAATTGTCTTCAAATCTTACATTCCCCTTAAAAGCTTATTTTTTATATGTGCTTTTTAGAACACATGGTGATTGGTGTTCTTGAATCAATGTTGTACAAAGTGGTTAATATTGCTCAGAGATACATTGGAGTCAAAGACAATACAAAAAATTCATTCCTGATTTTCATGCAAGTGCTCTAGTTCCTCCCTTTTACCATTGACTTTGAAATTCAGGACCCTGTTTACTTTCCCCAAATTAGTAATACAATGCCTTTTCCCTGGATGTTTCTACTCTGCAAAATGTGTCAGCACATTTGATATCTGGTGTTTTTTATTTTCCTCCCTTAGATGTTGGTGGTGCCTCAGTTTGCTTAGGTTTAGGTTAAGCAGCCCATAAGAATTTTTCCTTTACCCTTAATCCAGTCTAAGTATTTGTCTTTAGTCCAATCTGTTGAATTCTTACTCATCTCAAGGGGATATTAGTGAATTTCCAGAATTCACCATACATTTTATCAAAGCTACTGTATCTATTAAGTCTACTCAAGTGAGTAGCAATGATTGGAAGATTATTGACACCTCACATTCTTTTAGTACATTGATTATATACTCATGAACATAGGTGCAAAAATCCTATACCAAATAAATATAAGCAAAAACAAATCTAGCAATGTCAAAAAAAAAATACCACTGTGACCAGGTGGCTTTATTTCAAGATTGGTTTAAACATATATGAATGCAGTTTACCCACATTACTAGAGCATAGAAGAAAGCCTGAATTATCATCTCAACAGGTGCAGAACAAGCATTTAGTAAAATTCAGCATACATTCCTAAGGGAGACTATTAGCAAACTAGGGAGAAAGTGAACTTCTTTATCCTGACGAATAGAATCTACCAAAAACTACCACAGACATCAAATGCAATAGTGAAACATTTAAAATCAAGTATGAGACAAGAATGAACATCAGTGCTTTCATTTAGCACTGTATTTGGAGACCTGCACAATGTTAAAAAGAAAAGTTTAAGGGGGTCTTGAGCTTTTAAACTGTCTGTATTTCCAAAAGGTAAAGCTTTAAGAAAGACTAAGGAAGGAGAAACAGAGACAGCCGCAGAAAATCACACGAACAGAACATACATGAATCACAGGGAACAAAAGAGCTGAAGGTACGCTTGAAGCTGTCCCAGAGGCTCCTTACACTATCTTCGTATTTTCGGATTCTTTTTTCATTTTGCTTTTCCGGTTGGGTGTTTTTTGCTTCTTCGCATTTCAAATCTTTGACTTGATTCTTGCGCTCCTCTGGTCTGCTATTGGGTGTCTGTATAATATTCTTTATTTCAGTCCGTGTATGCTTAATTTCTAGTTGGTTCTTTATCATAGCATCGAGGGTCTCATTAGTTTTCGTGACTCTCTCCTCAAGTTTATTGACAGCTTCTAGCACATTTTTGCAAGCCCTCAAAATTGCGATTTTTAGCTCTATATCCTCCATTTCTGTCATGTTTTTTTGTCTCCGCATTTTTTATGCTTTCTTGGTGCACCCCCTAGTGGTCTTTGTGCGCAGTCTTGTTCTAGTTGAGCCTTGATTGTTGTAGTTAATACTAGAGGGATTTGACCACCAGGCCGACTGGCTGTGTGAATCAGCTGTGTCTGCCGCGGAAAACTTCTGTCCTCTGGGGAGGTGCTAATCTAGCCTTTGCCTGAGGCGATCTGGCAAATGGCTCTGCGCAGGGCTTGGGCGGGGCGGGCTCAACAGGGCGGGCGGGCGGAGGGAGCGGTTATGGCCCCTCTCAGTCCCGTTCCCAGAGGCTCTGCTTCTCAGAACCCCCGGAACCGCTGCAAACCTCGGAGGGAAAGCTGCCTTCCAACTGATGCCAGACACTCCCGCTTCTCCCGTTTGGGTCCGAGTCCCCAGCGATTCGCCCGTATCTGGAGCTCAGAGTCTGAGACTCCCCCCTGACCGAAAACGACAACCGCGCTCTCAGCCACCAGCCCGCTTTGCGCGCGCACCTCCGCACCTGAGTTTTTTCCACACTGCGCCTCCTCTGAGCCTCGGTGTGCTGTTATTTTTCCTTCTAGTTGAAGAGTCTCTCCTCAGCCAGCCTTCCTGTGGTTCTGGGTGATGTCCGTTCCGTCTTTTAGTTGTATTTTTGAAGTGGTTGTTTGCGGCAGCAGTCTGCGGTGTTTACCTATGCCGCCATCTTGGTCTCTCCTTCATGGTCTCTTTCTTAATGAATTCTTTTATATATATTCTGGATACTAATAAATTATTGGTTATATGTGTTGCTTTTCTCATACTTTGTTTCTTTTTGTAACTTCATGCTATATATTATGATTAATAGCATTCTTTAAAACTTAATACAATTTAATTGATCAATTTTTATTTTAACGGAAATAAATTTTTTTTGTTTAGGAAATCTTTTTCTTCTCTGAAACCAGAAATATGTTCTTTATTTTTAAGATGTCAAATGTTACTTTCATATTTAAATCCTTAATCCATTTGTAAATGATTTTTTTTTTCTGGAGGTCTGTGGTGAGGTATGAGGTAGAATTCCAGTTTTATACTGTATGGATAATTATTTGTTTCAACATCATCTGTTAAGTAGTGTTTCCTTTTTGAAATGCTCTTGAATGCTATCTGGGCTTTTTATCAAATGTCAATTAACGCTCACAGAGGGTACATTGAAACAGTTTCTTTCTTTTTCTTTTTTAAAATATATTTTTATTGATTTTTTACAGAGAGAAAGGGAGAGGGATAGAGAGTTAGAAACATCGATGAGAGAGAAACATTGATCAGCTGCCTCCTGCACACCCCCTACTGGGGATGTGCCTGCAACCAAGGTACATGCCCTTGACCAGAATCAAACCTAGGACCCTTCAGTCTGCAGGCCGACACTATCTCCACTGAGCAGAACTGGTTAGGGCAAAAACAGTTTCTATGCAGGGTAATTTGTAATATTAACCAAACTTACAAATAAATAATTTTACTTTAAAAATTATTTCTATATGCTTGTGTATGTGAAATGTTATGTGAATAAAGTTGATTACTTCAACAGTCTTTTTAATAGAAAACAAAAATGGCTATAACCTAAATTTCTATAATAGTAGGCTGGATGAAACAAATTATTATGCATTCATATAGTGACATATGTTGGTGTGAAAAAACAACAACAAAAACAACAACAACCTCTAAGGACAACCAAGAATTGTTAAAATTGTTTTCCTATACCCCCTGCAGATTATTTACGTCTGCAGAAACCCCAAGGATGTTATGACTTCATTCTTTCATTTTTCAAATGTGGTGGTCCGTCTTGAACCTGGGAATGATATGGAACATTTCATGAAAAGGTTTCTAGATGGAAATGGTAACTATGAATTTATGCATTCAACTTGTTTATGAGGCCATGTTTCCATTTAGCCAAATTCTCACACATGGGGAACATATTTTAAGGAAAGAAAGAAGAGTAACGATAGAAGCTGGATGCACGTAAGTGGTTACTGCTCTGTTAATTTAATTTGCCACCCAATGGCCTTTCTATTCTCACCAGGACCACTTTGGGGATTGCTATGGTTGCAAAGGCATATAGTTTAAGAAACAGTTTGGCCAGATCATAAAAGATCCGCAATGGTGTACCCATCCGAAGTGGATGTAGTGTTTGTGTTCTGTCATGGACTTATGGTAGGCTTTATATGGCAGCGGTGCAATATTCATCTCAACACTGAGGAGGATAGATTGATGGGAGAGGCTTGCGGAATGTGGAACTGGGGCTCTCGCTTATTTAGAAGATTAGATTCAGGTTCTGTCTTATAGATATCTGAAGTTGCTAGCCAGACATCTTAAAATAGATAATAAAAGGAGAAATAAAGACAGATTTTCAGGTGGAAGAAGTAAGAAAGTAAGGAGCTTATCTTCAATCTTCACAATGAGTTGTTTGGGTTTCTTATTTTCTCCTCTGCTGCTTTTCCTACCTGCATAGGAGAGGCAGGTTTCCATTAAAATAATGAAATTGTTTCCCAAAGCACCATTTTTACCAGGTAACATAGATGTCTAGTGGTGGGGGCTTTACTTACCTTCCAGGGGATTCCAGAACAGAAAAGAAAGACTCAGGTTTGCTGTTTGGTGAGTGCAGCATCTTTACCTTGTCACTTACTAATTTCCCCCCCAGTGGTAGGAAGCCGTTGGTTTGATCACATCAGAGGCTGGTATGAGCACAGACATGACTTCAGTATTCTGTTTATGATGTATGAGGAAATGAAAAAGGTAAGAGGCAAAGGTTATTTTTAAAAATTATTTCTTTGAAACCCTTTTTT